CCAATGATTCAAGTAACTTTGCTATACAAGTTGTTAACCTTCAAAAAACAATATATAATCCGATTTGATAATGCTTGCTAATCGCAAGCGTTAAAATTATCGACCAATAGCTTGCAAATGTTAAGTTCCAATAAATGTGTTAATAGCTCTGCAGTCATTAAGTGGTATATTTACTTGTGCCTTAGCACCTTGAAAAGTGACAAATTACAAACTTCAAGCAACAAAAGGAAGAGATGTGCCCTATATTATTTCCATTCGCAAACAAAATTGTTCAAAGCACAAACATAGAACGAAATGTTTTTTTTTTGTATTTTTAGTGTTTTGAAATCAGTAACTTAGTTCAGTTTGATAATTAATGGCTCCTTTCTATGATAACACCTCTTTAGAGATCTAACTACGAAAGCCTAGGGGGATGGATTTTTTTGAAAGTTGGGTGTTATTATGGGAAACCCAGAATATTTAGCTCGTTTCGCGCAAATTTTGCGCAGCAAGTTTACCAAAAAATTATTTCCGAGCATTTATGAACGAAATGATTGAGAATTTTAGGCCACTTTTTGCCCTAAACGACTTAAAACTTGTTCAAACTCATTTATCCAGTTTGACAGTTTGAATAACAGTGGACTATGTAATTATTTAAAAGTGTATTCGTACTTAATTTAAGGGCTTTTTATATTATGTAATTAATCAACTGTATATTCTACTTAATAATAGTTTCAGTGGATCAAGTTGACATCCTGCTTTCTGAAATTCCGATCCGTGACCACAATGAGCGACCCACAATTCGCGAATAGTCCTTGAACATCAAATCACCCAATTCTCGATACTCTAACTAACGTCTGCAAAAACATCTTTGACAAAATTTTCAACAAGCGTCCGAAATGTCATATAAAAGAAATTAGTTTTCCAGTTAAATGAAGAAAATCGCAATTCAAACATGGGTAAACTAAAACATTTTGAAAATAAGCAAAAACTAACATATGCAAAAATGATTTTAAAGTATGATCGGTATTTTGCATTTTACGAGCTAGTTTTTTTTTTCAGTAAGCCAAAATATTTTGGTAAAACAAATTGCATCACTTGTGCAAACAACTCAAAATTTTTATCATGGTCTTATTGCATTGTCTAAAAAGTTCTAATTTATGGTAGCAAAACTCTGACGACCAAAATACGGTTGCACGTAAAAAAATGGAAATTGACCCGGTCCGATATATTGACGCGAACTCCTAATGCTCCAGATTCGATTCACCTATCGTTCCTTTTTTGCATTTGCTGTCATATTTTGTGAAAAGTTAATAATTTTGAATCACTAGTCACAGTCTTGTAAGTTGTTAATGCTGATTTCGGCACCCCAGCCAAAACTTACGCAATCCACGCTACGTTGTTCCATCTAGCTCTTCAATCTAAATTAACAATACTGCTCGTTTATCAGGACAAAGCCCTGAATGTTCCGACTGTCCCTTAATTCATATCAAATAGTCTTTGGGAAAAAATGTTGAAAACCTATACATTTTGGACAATATCAAAGTGTAAAATTTTGAGTCGTCCGAAAATAATACGACCACCAATTAGCTAGTCGCAAATCGGATGCGGTCTGTATTTAGACAACCGGGTGTTCATACTCGTCAGTAAGCAGCCAAATGCCATCTTAACCAATCAGAATCGAGTTGGGAAAGCAAATTGACGAAATAAATAATTATTAATTGTTCATTTCTTCCTAGTATCGATTCTCATTGGTTAATACAGTATTTGTCTACTCACGACGAGTCTGAATACCAGGTTCTCTAAATACTGCTACGTAATCCCTCAATTCAATTTGGAATGATTTTGTTGTGCGAGATAATTCGCCACGCATAAATAATTCGCGTTACGTTCTCAGCATTATGAATAAACTCTTCAAAGCGCGCATAATTTAGTCCGGAACATGGCAAATTTGAAAACTTTTAAACCTCCAGAAATTTACAAAAAAATAATCGGAGGTGAAATATGTTCAATGCCTTCAATGGCGAATAAAAAATTTTGTTGAAAATTATTGTTTCGATTGGTGAAAACTGACTGAATAAAAAAAACCACACCGAGCATAAATATTCCGTTTTCTTCGAAAGTCGCTACAATAAAATTTTGCTTCTTCATTAGAGATTCCTTAAATATATCTCGTCTCATTCAATTATAGACTTGGTACTTAAATATAGACGCAGTTGTTTGATATTCGACTATCTTTCATAAAGGTAAAATTTTTCAGCCAATCAGGTTTGGGCATAGTATATGCAGGTTTTTCTGCTTGATTTTTTAAATTTATTATTAGGGGAATCAAGTCACTTGGTCTATTTAGGGAGGGGTCCAGGATTGTTCTCTTGGGCCAAGTTGGTTGATCTTTTTGTAAGTTTTTTCGTAAGTCGTGCCGTCAATCTTTTCTTAAGTCGCGCCGTCTTTATTTTTTTAAAACTGCGCCGCTAAATTATATTTTTAAGTCGCGCCGCTAGAGTCTGTTCTTAAGCCTTGACGCTAGAGTCTTTGCTTAAGTCTTGCCGCTTAAGTCTTCTAAGTCGCACCGTTAGTCTTTTTGCAAATCGCGCCGTCAGTCTTTTCGTAAGTCGCCCCATCAGTTTTTTCAGTCGCGGCGCTCATGTCCTTTCTTGAAACACGCCGCTTAGGTTTTTTCGTAAGTCGCAAAGCTAGTGTCTTAAGAAAAAAACTGACAGCGTGACTTACGAATAGACTGACTTCGTGACTTACGAAAAGACTTAAGGGGCATGACTTAGAAAAAACTGACGGCGCGACTTACGAAAATACTGACGGCGCGACCTACGAATATACTAAAGCGGCGCGAGTTAAGATAAGACTCATCCCCAAGAACTAAGAAAAAAACTAGCGGCATGACTTGCGAAAAGACCGACGGCGCGAATTATGCAAAAAAAAACTGGCCGCGCGACTTATGAAAAGTTTATATCGGCGCGGCTTAAGAAATGATTTTACTGGCGCGATTTAAGAAAAGATTCTAGCGCCGGGAATTAGGAAAAAACTCTGGTGGCACGACTTAAGAAAAGACTGAACGCGCGGCTTTTGGAAAGATTTTAGCGGCATCACTTAAGCAAAGACTGACGGCCTGATTTAAAAAAAGACTGACAGGGTGACTTGGGAAAAGACCGACGACGCGACTGAAGGAAAGACTGATTGCGCGACTTATGGAAAAACTATAGCGGCGCGGCTTAAGAAATGACTTTACTGACGCGACTGACAAGATTCTAGCGCCGCGAATCAAGAAAAAACTCTAGCGGCACGATTTGAGAAAGGACTGACAGGGTGACTTGCGAAAAGACCGACGACGCGAGTGAAGAAAAGACTGATGGCGCGACTCAAGAAAGACTTTTGGTTTTTTGCTCATTCGCGCAGGTCTTGGCGGCTTGTTATCTGTCGCTCAGATCAGAAAATGGCAAATTTTAATCGCGCCGGTCCCGACGGTGTTTTGAGTAGCGCCGATCGCGATGGTTTTTCTTTCAGTCGCGCCGGCTTTCAATTGCCAAATTTTGGTGGCGCAAGTCTAGAATTGCCAATTTAAAGTCGCGGACCTTGACCCGGATTCTCTTCTAGCTCTATACTCTAAGCAATTTAAAAAAAATTAACTAAAGACTCCTTTGGTATAGATGGTCTTCTTTTATTATAGACTTGGTACTTAACTATACAAGCAGTTGTTTGAAATAAGACTACTGTTAATCAATGGCCGCTCTTAACAAGATTATTATTATTTTTTAAAAATTCTACAAATTTTCAAAGATTTGTTTACTTTCTTTTACAAGTCTGAACTAACTTATGTCACAAAACTTGTGGTTTTTCCCCTAATTTTGCCTGTAAAATCTTCAAAAAAAGCGCTCACGAGGATCCTAATTGGTTGAAAAGCACCACCACCATATCATATTGCGGAGCTAGCAAATATAATCAGCATAGTTGTAGTTCGAAATTGTAAATCAACTTGAAAAAAAATGTAAAAAAAACCTCGAGAAAATCATAAATACGCCCCTGTCTATAACAAACACAAGACTAGCACTTAGCATCAGGATAACTACAGCATTATCATAATTAAACACTCTGAACTTGTTTGCGAGTTGACTACGCGTGCGTGTGTGTTTCATTCCTCCCTCTACATCCCATTTTTGTTTAGACGTTCATTTTTCGCTCAATTTTTTTTTCGTCATTTGCGATGGATTCGCCCAAGATTACCAAAATATCATTAAAAACGAACCAAACGAACTTAATTAATGTACCATTTATTCATTTAGTTTGTAACATGAGTGTAATTGTAGGTTGACTACGGGTGCGTGTGTGCCTCCTTCCATCCTCACTATCCTCTGGTGGCAGTGGGCACAGAAGTGGGCAGATGGTTCGCCCTCAACACCGTCTCCAAAGAGATAGTCACCATGCACGCAGACAGCAAACTACAGTTCAACTCCATATCATTCTCACCCAGTCAGTCAAGTTATAAGAATAAATAATAATCTATTTGTTTTCTAAAGGGGACAATTTGTTTATTTAGAAAACGTATCCGAAAAATATTCACATCTTGGAAGAACACTTCTATTGTAAATTTCTATTTCTAAACTTTTAAACTTCTTTTGATCTTAAAGTACGAGCCAAGTAATTTTTTGTTGAGCCGTACCTAAAAACAAAAAAACTTTTAGAGTTAGTTTCTATTTTTACCAATCCTATGATTCGTATGATTCGGATTTGATTATAGGAAAAAGAGCTATATAACCTAATAGTATCGTTTTGTTGATAAACGAAGATCAGTTCTAAGTATTTTTTCTTGCTTCGAAAAATGTTACGAAAACCAATGAAGGAAAAAGTAGTTCTATTTTTACCAATCCTATGATTCGTATGATTCGGATTTGATTATAGGAAAAAGAGCTATATAACCTAATAGTATCGTTTTGTTGATAAACGAAGATCAGTTCTAAGTATTTTTCTTGCTTCGAAAAATGTTACGAAAACCAATGAAGGAAAAAGTAGTTTCTATTTTAACCAATCCTATGATTCGTATGATTCGGATTTGATTATAGGAAAAAGAGCTATATAACCTAATAGTATCGTTTTGTTGATAAACGAAGATCAGTTCTAAGTATTTTTTCTTGCTTCGAAAAATGTTACGAAAACCAATGAAGGAAAAAGTAGTTTCTATTTTTACCAATCCTATGATTCGTATGATTCGGATTTGATTATAGGAAAAAGAGCTATATAACCTAATAGTATCGTTTTGTTGATAAACGAAGATCAGTTCTAAGTATTTTTTCTTGCTTCGAAAAATGTTACGAAAACCAATGAAGGAAAAAGTAGTTTAAATTTTTACCAATCCTATGATTCGTATGATTCGGATTTGATTATAGGAAAAAGAGCTATATAACCTAATAGTATCGTTTTGTTGATAAACGAAGATCAGTTCTAAGTATTTTTTCTTGCTTCGAAAAATGTTACGAAAACCAATGAAGGAAAAAGTAGTTTAAATTTTTACCAATCCTATGATTCGTATGATTCGGATTTGATTATAGGAAAAAGAGCTATATAACCTAATAGTATCGTTTTGTTGATAAACGAAGATCAGTTCTAAGTATTTTTTCTTGCTTCGAAAAATGTTACGAAAACCAATGAAGGAAAAAGTAGTTTCTATTTTTACCAATCCTATGATTCGCATGATTCGGATTTGATAATAGGAAAAAGAGCTATATAACCTAATAGTATCGTTTTGTTGATAAACGAAGATCAGTTCTAAGTATTTTTTCTTGCTTCAAAAAATGTTACGAAAACCAATGAAGGAAAAGGTAGTTTCTATTTTTACCAATCCTATGATTCGCATGATTCGGATTTGATAATAGGAAAAAGAGCTATATAACCTAATAGTATCGTTTTGTTGATAAACGAAGATCAGTTCTAAGTATTTTTTCTTGCTTCGAAAAATGTTACGAAAACCAATGAAGGAAAAAGTAGTTTAAATTTTTACCAATCCTATGATTCGTATGATTCGGATTTGATTATAGGAAAAAGAGCTATATAACCTAATAGTATCGTTTTGTTGATAAACGAAGATCAGTTCTAAGTATTTTTTCTTGCTTCGAAAAATGTTACGAAAACCAATGAAGGAAAAAGTAGTTTCTATTTTTACCAATCCTATGATTCGCATGATTCGGATTTGATAATAGGAAAAAGAGCTATATAACCTAATAGTATCGTTTTGTTGATAAACGAAGATCAGTTCTAAGTATTTTTTCTTGCTTCAAAAAATGTTACGAAAACCAATGAAGGAAAAGGTAGTTTCTATTTTTACCAATCCTATGATTCGCATGATTCGGATTTGATAATAGGAAAAAGAGCTATATAACCTAATAGTATCGTTTTGTTGATAAACGAAGATCAGTTCTAAGTATTTTTTCTTGCTTCGAAAAATGTTACGAAAACCAATGAAGGAAAAAGTAGTTTAAATTTTTACCAATCCTATGATTCGTATGATTCGGATTTGATTATAGGAAAAAGAGCTATATAACCTAATAGTATCGTTTTGTTGATAAACGAAGATCAGTTCTAAGTATTTTTTCTTGCTTCGAAAAATGTTACGAAAACCAATGAAGGAAAAAGTAGTTTCTATTTTTACCAATCCTATGATTCGCATGATTCGGATTTGATAATAGGAAAAAGAGCTATATAACCTAATATTATCGTTTTGTTGATAAACGAAGATCAGTTCTAAGTATTTTTTCTTGCTTCGAAAAATGTTACGAAAACCAATGAAGGAAAAAGTAGTTTCTATTTTTACCAATCCTATGATTCGCATGATTCGGATTTGATAATAGGAAAAGGAGCTATATAACCTAATAGTATCGTTTTGTTGATAAACGAAGATCAGTTCTAAGTATTTTTTCTTGCTTCGAAAAATGTTACGAAAACCAATGAAGGAAAAAGTAGTTTCTATTTTTACCAATCCTATGATTCGTATGATTTGGATTTGATTATAGGAAAAAGAGCTATATAACCTAATAGTATCGTTTTGTTGATAAATGAAGATCAGTTCTAAGTATTTTTTCTTGCTTCGAAAAATGTTACGAAAACCAATGAAGGAAAAAGTAGTTTCTATTTTTACCAATCCTATGATTCGTATGATTCGGATTTGATTATAGGAAAAAGAGCTATATAACCTAATAGTATCGTTTTGTTGATAAACGAAGATCAGTTCTAAGTATTTTTTCTTGCTTCGAAAAATGTTACGAAAACCAATGAAGGAAAAAGTAGTTTCTATTTTTACCAATCCTATGATTCGCATGATTCGGATTTGATAATAGGAAAAAGAGCTATATAACCTAATAGTATCGTTTTGTTGATAAACGAAGATCAGTTCTAAGTATTTTTTCTTGCTTCGAAAAATGTTACGAAAACCAATGAAGGAAAAAGTAGTTTCTATTTTTACCAATCCTATGATTCGTATGATTTGGATTTGATTATAGGAAAAAGAGCTATATAACCTAATAGTATCGTTTTGTTGATAAATGAAGATCAATTCTAAGTATTTTTTCTTGCTTCGAAAAATGTTACGAAAACCAATGAAGGAAAAAGTAGTTTCTATTTTTACCAATCCTATGATTCGTATGATTCGGATTTGATTATAGGAAAAAGAGCTATATAACCTAATAGTATCGTTTTGTTGATAAACGAAGATCAGTTCTAAGTATTTTTTCTTGCTTCGAAAAATGTTACGAAAACCAATGAAGGAAAAAGTAGTTTCTATTTTTACCAATCCTATGATTCGTATGATTCGGATTTGATTATAAGAAAAAGAGCTATATAACCTAATAGTATCGTTTTGTTGATAAACGAAGATCAGTTCTAAGTATTTTTTCTTGCTTCGAAAAATGTTACGAAAACCAATGAAGGAAAAAGTAGTTTCTATTTTTACCAATCCTATGATTCGTATGATTCGGATTTGATTATAGGAAAAAGAGCTATATAACCTAATAGTGTCGTTTTGTTGATAAACGAAGATCAGTTCTAAGTATTTTTTTTGCTTCGAAAAATGTTACGAAAACCAATGAAGGAAAAAGTAGTTTCTATTTTTACCAATCCTATGATTCGTATGATTTGGATTTGATTATAGGAAAAAGAGCTATATAACCTAATAGTATCGTTTTGTTGATAAACGAAGATCAGTTCTAAGTATTTTTTCTTGCTTCGAAAAATGTTACGAAAACCAATGAAGGAAAAAGTAGTTTCTATTTTTACCAATCCTATGATTCGTATGATTTGGATTTGATTATAGGAAAAAGAGCTATATAACCTAATAGTATCGTTTTGTTGATAAACGAAGATCAGTTCTAAGTATTTTTTCTTGCTTCGAAAAATGTTACGAAAACCAATGAAGGAAAAAGTAGTTTCTATTTTTACCAATCCTATGATTCGTATGATTTGGATTTGATTATAGGAAAAAGAGCTATATAACCTAATAGTATCGTTTTGTTGATAAATGAAGATCAGTTCTAAGTATTTTTTCTTGCTTCGAAAAATGTTACGAAAACCAATGAAGGAAAAAGTAGTTTCTATTTTTACCAATCCTATGATTCGTATGATTCGGATTTGATTATAGGAAAAAGAGCTATATAACCTAATAGTATCGTTTTGTTGATAAACGAAGATCAGTTCTAAGTATTTTTTCTTGCTTCGAAAAATGTTACGAAAACCAATGAAGGAAAAAGTAGTTTCTATTTTTACCAATCCTATGATTCGCATGATTCGGATTTGATAATAGGAAAAAGAGCTATATAACCTAATAGTATCGTTTTGTTGATAAACGAAGATCAGTTCTAAGTATTTTTTCTTGCTTCGAAAAATGTTACGAAAACCAATGAAGGAAAAAGTAGTTTCTATTTTTACCAATCCTATGATTCGTATGATTCGGATTTGATTATAGGAAAAAGAGCTATATAACCTAATAGTATCGTTTTGTTGATAAACGAAGATCAGTTCTAAGTATTTTTTCTTGCTTCGAAAAATGTTACGAAAACCAATGAAGGAAAAAGTAGTTTCTATTTTTACCAATCCTATGATTCGCATGATTCGGATTTGATAATAGGAAAAAGAGCTATATAACCTAATAGTATCGTTTTGTTGATAAACGAAGATCAGTTCTAAGTATTTTTTCTTGCTTCGAAAAATGTTACGAAAACCAATGAAGGAAAAAGTAGTTTCTATTTTTACCAATCCTATGATTCGTATTATTTGGATTTGATTATAGGAAAAAGAGCTACATAACCTAATAGTATCGTTTTGTTGATAAATGAAGATCAGTTCTAAGTATTTTTTCTTGCTTCGAAAAATGTTACGAAAACCAATGAAGGAAAAAGTAGTTTCTATTTTTACCAATCCTATGATTCGTATGATTCGGATTTGATTATAGGAAAAAGAGCTATATAACCTAATAGTATCGTTTTGTT